TCAAGTCTCTGGGAGCATCAGGTTCCCCTGTCGTAATGAATGTAGCTGTTAGACGTGGATATGAATGGGTCCCGGGAAATAAGAACGTGACTTATAATCTGAGTGGCCCATCAGGAATTGACCAAAGAGTCTGTGTTGCTTCTGTTAGAAGTCCTTATATGGTGGCCGCTGCATTTTGGAACTATTCCAGGAGACTCCTGGTGATGACTTGACTTCTGAGCTGGCATGTTCTTTGTGCTGTCTTTGTGGCCTGCAGTTTGGCTTCTTTTACCTCCAAGATAAAGCTGATGGTCGGGAATGATAGATATGTGGTGAGCCTCCTGGCCTTTTTGTACTATTCACACAGTCTGGACTCAAAATCCCATTTCCCACTCTAGCATGGAAGACTGCATAATCTGGCCCCTGCCTCCCTCCCTTACCCAATGCTCTAGCACTCTCCACTAGTCTACTGAACTTTGGGACACATTAACTTTATTACTGTTGACCCTGAGAAAGAAGGTGCCTGCTAAGAAGGCCTCCTTGTGGTTTCTCAGGCCCAAATTCACAGTCCGAGTCCAGCGGCCATGGTTCGTGTGGCCTCTCATGGGTGCAGTACATCAGTCAAAAGGCACAGACGGGGCAGCCAAGTTTCCTGCCTTGTGGCCCTGCTGTCTGAGCCGACCCCAGTAGAGGAGTTCCTGGAATCATATTGACCAACAGGATTGAGAAGCCAGGGATAAGGCTGTACATCCTGCCGTGCCCAGGACAGCCCCACACAGCACACGACTCTCTGGTATAAAATGTCAGTAGTACCACGAGCGAGAAACCCTGATTTAGAGGGACGACTCTGGCCACAGGGGGCAAGAAGTCTGTCAGCCAAGGAATTAAGCCCACCTAGAGCCTGCATCCTGTTCTAGAGCAATGTTTTCAGAGTGTGGTCCCAGACCCACCAGCAGCGGCAGCCCTGGGATCTTGTGAGAAAGGCAACTTTGGGCTCCATCTCAGGCCTACCGAAGCAGGAAATCTGGGGATCCGGCCAATAGTCTGCCTTCTAATAGGCCCTTCAGGTAATTCTGATGCATGCTTAGCCTTGACAGCCACTGTTCGAGCATCCCCTGTTTAAACTTGAAGAAAAATGTTGATTAAGATGGGAAGATAGAATACATTCTCTTTAATACCTTGTTTGCTTGATTCATGACATCTGAATGTGGCTGTACGGTGGGTGGGCCCCATTAATACTCTTGCTGCAGGCCCACAAGTGTGTGGGTTGGGTCTGTCTCCCTGCGCCCCATTTTCTCGGGCTGCCAAAAGAGGGATTGGGTGGGATCGTGCCTTGAGTGTCCTTCTCTGTGGGTGAGTCCGCGGCTGCTGGAGGAGCACTGAGGTCTGACTGCGTTCCCACACGGACTGTTAGGATGTGGTGACTTTAATGCTGAATCACTGGCAAAATATTTTTTTTTGCTCTCTATCCAGCAGAATTTCTTTCATTCATCTCTTGATATAATACAGACAAAGATATTAAGTCAAACAGATTACCCACTGCCAAACAAAATTCGAGCAGCTTTTAAGTTCTAGATACCTCTTTGCAAAAACTTAAAAACCTTTTCCCATCACCAGTTATGCCCCCTGGGGACCTTCTTCCGCCTCCTCCCTCCCCCTCCCTCTGCGGTCGCCACACTGTTGTCCGTGTTATGAGCTCTTTCTCTTTGAATAGCACGGTTTATATTTTATGCATGTGATAAAAATGAAAAAGTACAGACATGTCTTCTTGATGAGTATGAATTGGCATTACTCTTAGCAGAAGAAATAACAGGGTCTGGCACAAGTAGTGTCCTTTTTTTATCACAAAAATCTTTTGTTACAAAATCACAACCCTGTAATTCTGTAACATAACAGTATCACACTCAAATGCACCACATGATGGCATTTTAGGTGAACTGTTCACTTTTAAACTATCAATTATTATACCCATGTCACTACCCTACCAACCACACTCCAGCAGGTGTTACTTCTGCCGAACCCTGTACACACTAATTGAAAATTCCAATTTCGACTCAGTAATCTTATTTCTAGGAATTCATTCTAAAATCATACTGGTGTATGTAGGCAAAGGTAAATAGCTAAGGGTGTTAACTACTACTTTTTTGTTAGTAAAGCCAAAATTCAGAAACAACCTACATATGTATCAGGAGCGGATTGGCTGAGTTCTGAAGCACAGCCCTGTAAGGGCGCACCGTGCCACTGTAAAGAGAGTGGGCCACGCAGTGCTTCAAGTGTCGGGAGTGGTAACCCGACATCTGACCTCGGGGAGCAGGTAGCCCCTCCACCATTTACTTGCTGTGTGACCCTGGGCAAGCTACTTATTCTCTTTGCCTCAATTTTTCCATCTCTAAAATGGGGAATAATAGTCAAGCAAACTTCACAAAGTTGCTTAGAAGATTAAATAAGATAAAATGAGTTAGTCTATTAGTGCTTGTCATATAGAAAATAGTTAACAAATGTTACTGTTATGGAAAGAATTTCAAGATAAAGCATTATTGACAACATCAACACCACACAGAACAATGTTAGACTAAGAATAGAGTACATATACATGAATTACAGAAAAAAGTTTGGCAAGGATACTCAAATGCTATTTTCAGTGGTTTCTGTATATCTGGAATGGGAAGAATATTTTGTCATTGTGTATTTTGTCCATGTACCAGTATTACTTTTATAATTGTAAAATGATTTAAAGGAAAAACAAAATTTTAAATCACACAGGTGCTCATATTCTGTATGATGACAGAAATAGAACCATATGGATTCACTGATATTTTTTAAATGGACAGTAGGGTGACTTTTTAGAATGGAAAGATTTATTTTTGTGCACGAGAAGCATGCTAGTGTTTAAAATTTTCATGGAAAACTAATTTTTATAATGATTCTCCCCTCTGCTTGATGATGAGTTTCTTAGATTTTTCCAGTTGCTGTAACTAAGCGATTTGGGCCACATTGTCTTTGCCATTGGAGGCTAAGGAGTGAAATGTAACAACGCCCCACGCACAATGCACAGTGGGGCCCTTCCCGGGGGAAAGACTGAGCATCCTTTGCTGGATGATTTTTCTCTCCAGCGTCAGCGTAAATCCTATACTGAGTTGTCCTTCTTATGTACGTCCCTTGCGGCCCTATGAATGCCTGCCTACCAAATGACCTGATTAAATAAGTCTAAAGCCGATCTTCCTTTGGCTTTTTGCCAGCAAAACGCCTGGATTCAGGAGGCCGGAGTTGTTCTGTTGAAGAATGGAATTCTCCGGATGCAAGTATCCAGAGCAACACCACGAGTGTTACGGTGGCCTCTGACTTTTACAGTCTCCATCCCACCACGCCTCCACACTCAGTGCTTCCGGGGCTGAGAGACCACCAGACTCTCGTTCTGGTGGAAGCAAAGAAAAATTCTCCTATTGCAGTAGGTTTTGTGAAGTCTTCAATAACCTAACAGTTCATCCAAATTTCTAAATGAATTTAAATCTTGTGCAACTCTTAAAATTGTAGTCTGGCTTTATGTCACTTGTTTTTAAAATCAAATGATTAGAATTCATTCATTATTAAGGGCTCTGTTTTATTTTTAATCTTTGGCTCTTATTCTATCATCAAGAGTTCTCTTTAATGGGTTTTTTTCTTTTTAAAAGTAATAAAATTTGGTAGAGTTTTTGGGTTTTTTATTTTCTATTATGTAATCACAGCAGTTTTTAAATAATAATTGGGAGAAATTATAATTTTCTTTCAGTGCCACTGAATCTAACGTTTTTACCCTCCCCGTGTTCTTCCTCATCCTTTTTCTCTTTGCAAAAAAAATGGCATCTCATATTAAAAAACGAAGGTCACTGAGCATGTAGACTCAGTGCTACCACAACTTCAAGGTCCTCAGGTTCATTTGAACCCTTTGGTGCCGCTTGTCCTTCTTGTACATTATCTTTGATGGGTTGCTTTTAAAAATTCCACCGGGGAACAATTCCATGTACACATCACTCTGTCCTCATCACACACCCCTGCTCCTCCTCATTCGAGGCTCACCTCCTACTTGAGGAGTAGAACCTACGTGATTCAATTCTCCTGGGGAATTCTCTCTCCCTCTTCAACTCCAACAAAGCACCTGCTTTTCTTTTTTTCTGCTTCCTTCCAGATTCAGAAGAAGAACTTTCCTTCCTTCTGTCTAAAACCAGTTCTACCTCTGCTACCCTTTTTCGTATCAGGTGATAAAAATCCAGATAGTTTTCTTTATATTTGGCTTGCCTAAATAAGCCAACTGTTTCATGGAGAGTAGGATACTTTATATAAAAACCTAAGAACTTTTGAAAACTATAGTTTTAAGTCTCAGATATAGTGTAACCATATATCTTTGAATGATTGACTGAGACATTCACAGGAAAGTGTTGGTGGAAGTTGAGTGAGAATGTAGGTCAAGAACAAAATACTGTTGTCAAACTCTTGTCTCTATTTTCCAGGGTCTTTACTACTTTTTAATGCATAAAGGTTTTGCAGTATGTTGAAAAAATTCTACTTATAATTTTATTTTGAGTAGATACTAAGTGTATTTTCCCTTTAGTCATTATTTATTTTTATTTAAAAATATTGCTACATTGCAGGATAATAGTGGGCAATAAAAGAGAAGTGAAAAAATCAGATAAATTTTATTTTACTTTTGACCCCTGCCTAAAGTTGCTCTTGTTTTTTAGATATTGGAGTTTTTACATCATATATGTTATAGAATTCTACCACCTCGCAAAAGTTCAAATGCATGTCAGCAGAGAATGACTAAAACCACTGTAATAATCTGGATTTTTTTTTGCTTCAGTATACTTTTAGTAACTTCCCCTCTTGCTGATCACATTTCACGCCAACTTTCAAATACAAATCCCCCTTTTGAAATATTGATTGATGGTTTAAAGCTTTTTTTTGGAAGCAAATGAGTGCCCAGTAATGATATTGCCTGGTCATAGATCACTGTGCTCTGTATAACTGGCACTTACCTTTTTCAGAGAGCCATCTGTGACTGAATTAATACAGGGACAGGAGCAAGACCGGCCGTGGCTGACGTTACACTCCGGCTGGGAGAGCCTCAATGGGACCACCTTGCATGAGCTGCTGGTGGAAGGGTAAGCCGGCCTCCACCAGGGACACTACGGAGAGTGGGTTGGGGGGCGAGAGTCTGTCTTCGGAGCCCCTCTTCTGTCTCTGACCTGAGGGACCCCCAAATCTGTCACAGCCATAAAGAGCATAAACGGCTACTGGCCTGTGGATGTCAACATTGTTTGGCTTTATTTTTTTTCTTTCTAGACATAAATTTTTTTCTCTTGTCTAGTGATGTTTTTCTTTAATGATTTCAGAAACTATCATGGCGAGGGAGAAAGAATTTGGGTTCTGATCTTAGAGTTTTTTCATTTCCTATTTGAGATAAACTCTCATGTTTTCACTTCCTACTGAGACTACACACAAGCAGGTCAGAGAAGGAATTAAAGTAATGAAAACTGATAAAACTTGGAGGGCCCGAGAAAAAAAGTTGGCATGAAATGGAATTAGAATCAAGTAGGCTTGAAAGTACACCTGTGGAACATGTTCTCTAAAAAATAATGTCTTCCTCTACAGGGCCTGTGTCTATAGGAGAAAGGTACATTGAAGAAATTAATGCTAATTTAGTGTTTATTACAGTATAGGGACATAGCAATAGAATGTACAAATAATTTGTTCTTGTCTATAGGAGAAAGATAAATGGAAGGAATTAATGCTAACTTAGTATTTATTATATTATAGGGACATAGCAATAGAATATACAAGTAATTTACCCAAAACTCACCACCCACAGATGGTAGGAGACAGCCTCTCAACTCAAACCAGGTTTAGCTGATTCCAAAGCTTTTATTAGGTCCTAGTGAAGCCGCCTTTTAAGAATGCCAAAGGAGAAAACTAAAGCTGGGCCATTTTTCTTTTAGAATGCCTTGACATTTCCCCTATAGACCAAACTCTGCCACCAAATTTCTGAATACCTGGCACCTGGAATACTTCCTTCAGAACAATGACCTGCATCTTTCAATAAAGCGATGTGTTTCCCCAAACGGGGAGTGCCAGAAAAGCACCCTGGCGTCAAGTGAATGACCACAATATCTCACTCTGAATTGGGAGGCGGTAAAACTGGCTCTAGTCCTGGCTTACCAACTAGGTGTGTGGTCTTATATAGTCAGAGTTTTCTGTAAAATAAATAGTTGAGATGGGTAGTCTTTGGTGTCTTTTCCTAGTCCCATGAGCTGTGATTTTGGATCTAACAAATAACAAGTAATTATCAAGTATTTCTCCCATGCCAGGTTCAGTGGTGAGCTCTGAGGGGTGCTAGAAGTGAATTAGAGGGATAAGGACCCTGGTTTCAAGGAACATACATGGTACAAGTGGGCAGAGAGACTATGAGCTAGTGAACAAAGTGACTTTCTGATTTGGAAGTGCTACAGAGAAATTAAGGATAATGAGAGAGAAAGAGAGAGAGAGGAGTTATGACTTCAAGTTGTGAGAAGGCAGAAAGCAAATGTGGTTGGAAAAGAGCTTTGTTATTAAAACTAAACTGAATTCTCTGGTGTAGCCAGATTGAGAGATGTTTAAACATGGCCCATGTTCTTGCTTTATGAGGCTAACTCCAATTTTTAGGAAGTTCTTCCCTCCCTGAACACGCACACTTCCTATAAATTCTACCTAGTTGTCCTGACCCCACCGTCTATAGTTACACGGGGCAGAGCAAATCCCCCTTCTTCCTGGCCGCTGACTGTGGGTCCATACTTTGGTATCAAAGGTCTAGGCAATATTCTTTTCCAGATTCAATATTTTTATTTATCCATTCTCTAGCTTTTTAAAGTATTACTTTATTTCTTCAAAGCTATTTCTCAACATTTTGGGGACATACATGCCTCTCCATGAGCATAAGACTCTGACACAGCCCTCCTCACCGTAGATCCTAAGAAGCGGCCCAGTTCCCTCCTTTTTCTCCCCCTACTTTGAAAATCATGGTTTGAGTTCATATTTCGGGTGGTGCCACCAGCCAACATGATGTGGGGAACTTCACTAAGAATGGCCTCTCTCCTCACAATTGTGAAATTCCATTATGATGATATTAGTAAACTAAGACACACACCCTTTGTGCACCCCTCCCCCGAGGTGGTTCTGACAGCAGCCCTGCCTTGAGAACGGGCCTCAGGTAGGAGTTGAACCCGTGTCCAGCTTTTCACTGGTAGTGTTTGAAGTGAACAGCGAACATGTAAATTAATATTATACCATCTCATGTTTCTAAATCTAGGCAGTCGTGTCAGAGCAGAAGTAAGATTTCTCTTCTGTGTGCTAAACAAGGTGAGAGTACGGGTGGTGCCCCGGTGGGGACATGAGCTTCACTGAACGGGGTCGGTTGGGGGAAAATGACCACCTGCACATGGCCGTGGCCGCCAAGATCTGGGCGTCCTGCTGGGTCTGGGGCGAGTCACATGTCTTTTCTGCTCTTTGGTAGATTGCGGGCGCCGCCCTGCTGCCCGGATGAGCAAGAGGATCCTGGGAGGTCGGACGAGTCGCCCGGGAAGGTGGCCCTGGCAGTGTTCCCTGCAGAGTGAGCCCAGCGGGCACATCTGTGGCTGTGTCCTCATTGCCAAGAAGTGGGTGCTGACGGTCGCCCACTGCTTCGAGGGGTGAGCTGCACCTTTTCTTTTCTGCTCTGTTTGGAGCTGATTGTTTTTGTCACGTGGGCATTCTCAGTGACGTGTAATTCTCTGAAGCCAGTTCAGTGCAAAATCCACCATCGATCTATTGGGTTGACCCAAAAGTCTGTTACGTTTTTTTCCCCCCATAAAATAAAAGACACATTCTTCATTTTCACCAATAACTTTATCGATTTGGATATTTTGAGTATATTGGCTGTCTCCTGCTATTGTTTTATAGTGGGTAGAGGTCAGAGATGCTACTTAACATCTCCCAATGCATAAGAGAGCCCCACAGCAAAGAATTATTTGGCAAAAATGTCAATGCTATCAAGAAACTTCACGAGCCACTTTTGACACATTTTATCAGCCATAGCACTTTCTCCGTACACTGCACAAATATTTTTTTTGCATTTCAGTTGCACGTTTACCTGTTTTGAAATAATAAAGCATAATACACCAAAATGTTGCGTATTTTCTTCCATCTTCAACATAAAAATGGCTGCATAAAAATTTAGCAACGTTGATGTTTTTTGAAAATGCATGCTGATATGACAGCTGTCGCAATACAATGTAACAACATTGTTTTGAATGAAGTTACAGACAACTAAGCACCACTAGAGCCACTCTGCAGAAAAGTAACAGACTTTTTGGCCAGCCCAGTACTTCCTGGGCCTTTTTTCTACTTAGACTTTTCTACCCTTGGTGTTGTCAGCCTGTGTATGTGCTGCTCATTTATTGGCAGTGGATATATGTTGCTTATGATTTATGTCCTAAAGAGGGAAGAATAGGAGAAAGGTTAGCAGATTGACTCCAGCCAGCATTAGTCTCTTTTCTAGCCTTTTCAGTACATCGAATACATCTGAAGTTAAACAAGGTTATTTACTCAAGGGAATACTACAGTGAGGTTACAGTGCTAAGGAACTGGTGAGGAATTTGGGAAGCAGAGTTAAAGGTACAGTGTGTATTAGTCGGGGTTCTCCAGAGAAACAGACCAATGGGAGAGATGGGGAGAGACAGAGAGAGAGGAAGATTTATTTTAAGAAATTGGCTCACATGATAGTGAAACCTTGGCAAGCTCCAAATCTAGTGGGGTTTATCTAATGGGGTTTTCCGGGAAGACAGGAGAATTGCAGTTCAAGTCCAAAGGCAGTTAGGTAGTTAGTTGAATTTCTTCTTGCTCAGGGGAGGTACAGATTTGTTTTAGTAAATTCTCTGATTTATAAATTGAGGCACACCTCAATTATGGAGGGTAATCTGTTTTACTCAGAGTCCACTGATTTAAAAGTTAATCTTTTTTTTTAATTGTGTTTTTCTCCATTGCCATTTATCCCACTGATACCCCCGGCCCCCTGCAGTCACCACACTGTTGTCCATGTCTGTGAGTCCTTTTTTCCTTTTTGCTCGGTCCCTTTCCGCTCTAACCTCCCCCTACCACTAGCTGTCCCCCTGTTCTCCATCTGTGAGTCTGTCCCCATTTTCCTTGTTAGTCCAGTTTGTTCATTAGATTCCCCATATGAGTGAGATCATATGCTATTTGTCTTTCTCTGACTGGCTTGTTTCACTCAGCATAATGCTCTCCATGTCCATCTATGCTGTTGCAAAGGGTAAAATTCTCATTTTCCAGCTGAGTAGTAGTCCATTGTGTAATGCCCCATAGTTGTTCCATTCACTCATCTACTGATGGACACTTGGGCTGCTTCCATATCTTGGCAATAATACACCTTCACAGAAAAGTCCAGAGCAATGTGAGCTCAGATACTTTGTCCCTGTAGTCCGACCATGGCAGCACACAAAGTTTGCCACGGCAGTATGCTTAAAGGCTGCAGAAAAGTAAGACCATGGGGACACTGACCCCAAACTGACAAGTGTCACTGCAGAAGGTCCTCATCTGTTCCAACTATCTGTTATGCAAGTTAGGAGAAAAAACAAAACAAAACAAAGCAAAACAACCCAAACAAAAGAGTTAACAACAAAGAAAAAACCCTAATCATTTTTATGCTCATGGAAGATTCTGAGGGCTGGCCACTTGGAAGGACAGAGCTGGTGCAGCTTGTCTGCGCTCCACCATGTCTGGGCATCAGCTGGAAAGTGCCAAGGTGGGGGCTGCCACCATCCCAAGTTCGGCCGCCAGTGCTGCCCGTGGGCTTGGCCCCGGCTCCTCTGCGTGTGGGGCTCACAGCAGGGTGACTGGCATCCGGCAGACTGAGCAGCCCAGGAAAGGAGCCAGGAGGAAGCTGCGTCCTTCGTGTGGCCTCCAAAGACCCAGGACGCGGCTCCTGGCACATGGCCAGTCTGAGCCCTCCAAGCCCCACCCAGATCCAAAGGAAAGAAACTCCAAATGCTCTTCTCCAGGGGAGGAGTGTCAAAGGCTTTGAGGATGTTTTTAAAATAAATTTAAAAATCATATTAAATAATAGCAAAAAATTTTAAATAACTCATACTTCTGTCACTTAATGGATTATTTTCATTTGACTGGTTAATTTCTAGGAAAAAATGCAATTTCATTTATTTGAAATTGCAAATTTGCCTATTTTATTTCTTCTCACCTTTGCCCCTGACTGTGTAACCACGGGTTGACTCATTAACCTCTCTGGGCCACAGTTTCCTCCTCTGTGAGATGAGGGAGGTAACAGTTCCTACCTCACGAGGTGGGTGCAGGCAAAAGTGAGCCCAGGAAAAGCTGTGAGAACCAGGCCTGGTATCGATCTGTGGGACATGGATAAAGGTTAACCCTTTAAAAAATTATTAGTAAAATCGTGCATTCTGCCCTTTCCCTTGGCGTATGGCATGAGTATTTTTGCATTTTGCTAGCACCCTTTTTACCTTCTGTCACACGTTTACTTTCTCACCACCCTCATGGTAACCCCGACTGCAGCCTGGGGGATGTTCTTCCACCCTGTGAACAAATGCATTCTCCCCAGGGTGTCATCCTTTCCTTTTCCATTGGAAATCACACTCTGTGCTTGTGTTCGTACGGTGACTTTCTCTTGTAGCAGCAGATTGCGGACACCCCTCCCCGGACATCCCTCCGGGTCAACAGATACAGCTCAAATTCCTTCTTTTCCAAAGCTAAATGGTATTTTATAATGTAGATTAATGGTAACTTTTTCTATTATTTCCCAGTTGGTGGACATTCAGGGCAGTTCCACTTCGCTGCCATTTTCACAGCACTGCAGTGCATCTTCTTACACAAAGCTCCTCACCCGCCGATGCTCTTCCTACTGCAGGACCGGGTCCTAGTGCAGATGTTAGTTTCCATGGGCGATGGAGAGAGGAAGGCACAGTTACTTCCTTCAAGTGCTGACCTAACAGGGGTCCAGGCACTTACACGAATAATTACATTGTAACACGATAAGTGACTGTAAAATGGAAATGTGTATACCCAATTATTTGACTGCTCTTTTTGGAGAAATAGAATATAAAACGTGAAACCAGTGCCTCCTCTGGAGAACATTTAATGTGAAAGGCCCCAAATGATGTGACAAGTTGTGTCATACGTCAGGAAACACACCGCAGCGCTGTTGCTTCGGAAGAGGCCAGATGTTCCCAGATGTCTTTTCCAGTTGTGATTTATAACTCCGTGATAAGCAGGAGACTATGCTAGCAAGAGTACATTCATCAAAAGCTGATTACCTCCATGAACCCAACAGCTCTTTAAGGGAAACACATTCTTCATATGTTAGTTAATCCAGGTTCATACCCCACGTTTGTCATTTCCACATGTGCTGTCCGAGTTTCCTCTTTCACGGACAGACCTGTGAAGTTAAGAATAAGCTTTGCAATAGAGAAGAGGTATGTGTTTATAATTAAGGAAATGGGTAAGATATCAAAGGCCTTGGTGAAATTTTATGGAACACTAAACTCAACAGAATTGTCAGTTGGGGCCTGGCTTGCCCACAAGAAATGAGAAATCGCCTAACTTCCAACAAGCCTTCATTTGAATGCGTGTTAATAACCCTGATTCTGTTTTATAGTCTCTCCAGTGGCCCTGCAGGCTTTCGGGAACTTCTAATTATAAACCTTACTCTCTGCCGGAGCCAACAATTGCTGCAATTAATGGGATTTACTTCATATCCTGATCCCATACTTTGGCAAAGCCAGTGTGACCCGTCTGTAGGTCTTCTCAAGCTTGTCTCTTTTAATTACATTGATGGGGAAAAAAAATACAAATTTGTTTTGCTCTTCCATGGAGAGGTATTTATAAATCCCAAGTGAAAATTAAAAACATGAGCTACCAAGTCGATCAGCTCAAGTTCCATATGCCCTAATAACGATTCAGCTTCAACAGCTGTAAGGAAGAAAGACTTTGCCTTTCAGGGGTAAATTAACAAACAATTTTCCTGCCTCCTTCTGCCTCTGAAAGATGTACGAATGAACATCCTAGGCTGGCACACAACTAGTACTTATCAGAAGTGTCTAATTTCTCTCCAGGAAACCTGTATAAAACACTGTCATCCTACCACAGGACCATCGTCCCTGACCCTGCCAGGTCACCCTTGTCTTGGTTTCTCTCACAAGACCGGTGTTGCTTGTCTGCACTTCTTCCCCATCATCTCCATCCGTCCGTCTCCCCATCTTGCTTCTTTCTGCAGTTCACCAAGTGCCCTGGTCAGTCCTCTTATGGGGACCTTCAACTTCCTTCTTCCTAGATCTTTCTGCCGAACGTACGTACCAGGCAGACCCATCCTGATGCAAATCTTTTAATAGCCTTGAGAAAAGGAAGTGAAACATTTGCTCTGACTTTTTAGACTGAACCCATGTTGTGTTCTCATGATTACTTTTTTAGGTGCGTATGAACTATGCCATTCATTCATAATTTGTTCTTTCATTTTACTGACTTGAGGGGTTCAATCCATGCCTCCCCTGGGGTGCTGTTTTTTAGCATCACTGGAGAGCGAGCCAGTGTGGTTGTAAAAAGCCCTCAAGGGTGCGGACTTGACTCCGCTCTCACCACTGCCCTTCCTGCCCGGGGAGGAGCTCTCTGTCTTCCTTGTCTCTCCAGCAGAAAACATCTGGGTCAAGGACATAGCCAGCCATTGGCCTAAAATATGGGCCAGTCAACATTTCTGGGGTTTGCCGAAACAGGGAGCTCTTCTCTTTTCAACCTTCATAGTCACTTGTTTCTTCTAGTCTTGCAGCTGTCTCTGCATGCACTCTGCCCCTGCACCCGAACATTCCCCCGCTGATCACTGCTGGGGAAAATCACACACCCGACTGCCAACTGAGCCCACGGCAACTGTATGATCATGAGTCTCAAATGGGCGTCTAATAATATGGGACATTCTAATATATTCCCACAGGGAAGTCACTTTTCTACCCTCAGAGCCAAGTCTTTGACATCTTCTCCTCTTTTCTCTTTTACTCGCCACTGATTTCACCTCATACTTCATGGAGAACATAGACACCATCATACCTTTAATCTTGTCTCATCCCCAATTCCAACAAAGTACTTGTGTCTATGGCCACATCTCCTACTTTCCCTGGAGTGTGTCCCTGATCTTATTTAAGGACAGTTACATCCCTTTTTATCTTTTCATTGACTTTACTCCTTAAATCCTATTTTGCATCATCAATTTCTCCTTTTCTTGCTGGATTATTCCCTTCAGCAATCGTGCCTTAATGTCATAACTTAAACCTCCTTCTCATGACGCCACAGCCCTCTTCAACGACTGCCCTGTGAGCTGTGGTTCACAGTCAAAGTCCTGAAGTCACTGCAGGCACCGTCTCTATGATTACAGCCCCCCCACCCCATTTCCTCCTCAATCTACTTGGGATGTGCTCCGATCCACATCACTACAAGAAATGACATTTATTAAAGTTTGTAACTTTTTTCCTTTTTTTAAAATTGATTCCAGAAAGAGGGGAAGAAAGGGAGGGAGAGAAACATCAAAGAGTTGCCTTTTGCAGGTGCCTGAGGACAGAACCCGGGCATGTCCTCTCCCTGGGAATCAAACCCATGACCTTTCAGTCTGCAGGACGACGCCCCACCAAATGAGCTACACCGTCCAGGGCTCAGAGTCTTCAGTGACTTCCGTCTTGCCGTGCTCAGCGGGAACTGTCAGTTTCTGACTCACTGGAATCCTCAGTGTCTCATCACTACATCCTTCTTGAAATACTTCTCATTTTTCTTTTAGAGTAACAAAACGATTTCTTGTTCTTCTCTTATTTCCCTGACCTATCCTTTTATTTTAATTTTCTCCTTTTTTTAGGGCAGTAAAATTTTAGCACCCATAGTTTTCATGAACTGTATGTTTGTGTCCCCCGTCAAAGTCATGTGTTGAAACTCTAACCCCCGGCAGGATGGTATCAGGAGGCAGGGCCATTGGGAAGTAAGTTAGATCGTGAGAGTGGGACCCCCGTGGTGGGGACCCCCCGTCGTGGGACTAGTGTCCTGATAAGGGGAGGAAGAAAGCGTGTTCCCTCCCTTTTCACCCTACGAGGACGCCACAGGGTGAGGCCAACTATAACCCAGGAAGAGGGCCTTCACCAGACTGAGCAGGTGGTGCCCTGATCTCAGACTTCTGCCCCCAGAACCGTCAGAAATAAATACTTGAAGTTCAAGCGACCCAGGCTATGGTAATTTGTTACAGCAACCCAAGATAAAACAAGGGTCCCGTTCTTGGCTTTCTTATCTGTCTTCACCTACATGGAGCTGAGCTTTCTGTAGAGAGAGTTTAAGATGCCAATAGCTGTTGAATTGTTATTTTAGGAGAGAGAATGCTGCGGTTTGGAAGGTGGTGTTTGGCATCAACAATCTAGACCACCCATCGACGTTCATGCAGACGCGCCTCGTGAAGACCATCATCCTGCACCCTCGCTACAGCCGAGAGGTGGTGGACTATGACATCAGCATAGTGGAGCTAAGCGAAGACATCAGTGAGACCAGCTACGTCCGGCCGGTCTGCCTCCCCAGCGCGGAGCAGTTGTTAGAACCTGACACGTACTGCTACATCACGGGCTGGGGGCACATGGGCAACAAAAGTAAGCCAGGCTCATCGGCAGCACTTGCCTTAACTGGTAACCGAAAACCCTGTGTTCCTTCCCAGCCTTTGGTGGTAATCTCCCGTGTCACTTATAAAGGTATAGACACAAATGGTAAATACTAAGCAGGTGTGTCACACTCTCCCCTCCATGCAAATGTCAGGTGTCAATAAGGCACTTAAATCCGCTCAGAGGCAACCTCAAAAATGCTTGTGCACACCGCAGAACCTTTCTCCAGGGAGCCAGAACCAATGCTTTGGAGCCGCGGTGCAAGGTGAGGCCTGGCAGTCATCCCTGTGTGGACCGCCTCTGCCGGTGATTTGCACCCTCTGCAGGCAGACCCACCGGGAGCCTCTCTCTGGTGTTCGCACGTTCACTCCCGCAGCCGGGCTGTGCTCACATTTCCAGTCCTGTGTTACGACTGCTCTTGTCGACTTTTTGTGACACGCCCTGTGAGTTGTTCTACAAAGAAAACCGATTTGCTGTTTGCCTACTTAAATTGGTTAAAATAGTTTGTCTTCCTAGTGATTTAAACATATAAAACAAAGAAATTAAAAAATGTGTACTACTTACTCCCAGCCCCAAATGGGACTCTCATTTTGCTTGACCTCTTAAAGTTTAGAATAAAGATTTAATCCACGAGACAGTTTCGTTAAAGGCTGCTCCATATCAAGGGCACGGCCATGGCTCTTCTGCCCAACGCGGTGCCCTTACCATCACTATCCAAGAGGGGAGCAGGGTGCAGAGCTTTGTAGAGGCAAAACCACTAAAGATTCCAGTCCACTGCTATTCCTCGGGAACTTAAAGCAATATGGGGAATTCACATATTTCCCTCTGACCCGGAGGGATGATTTTGTCCCTCTCAACATCTCCCTGTCCTATCCTCTAGGATTAAAGGTTCTCACCTCACATAATGGCCACTGTAGCCCATGGCGAGACACATTCTTTAAACCGAGGAGAGGGCGGACCCTGTCCTGCTGGAACACGCAGGCGTGTGTAGCGGTGCGGGACTGGCCCGCGGAGCTGAGGCTGAGCTGGCTGCCTCCTTTCCGGGGCAGAGCTGTGGCTTCGTGGTTTTCCATGTCGCTGTGGCGGCTGCTGTTTTTATTGCTATTATAGCTATTATTTATAGCATGTATAATAAAAGGGGAAAAGCGTGAGCCAAGTTACACCTAACCAGGTGACTTAGCCTCACTTTTCTCAATAAAATAAGGGGATTTGACTAGATGATTGCCGTCAATACTTCTAATACGAAAATTCTGATTCCAGACAAGCCTTGTCTTTGAAATGACATTTTAAGTGAAGAATATGGGTTGGGAGTATAAACATATGTGCTCGGCCTCACTTTTGAGCCATTTACCCCCTCGCGTATCTTATTTCTTCCTTTTCACGGCGCCAGTGCCCTTCAAGCTGCAGGAGGGAGAAGTCCGCGTCATTTCCCTGGAGCAGTGCCAGTCCTACTTCGACATGAAGACCATCACCGCGCGGATGATATGCGCTGGCTACGAGTCCGGCACAGTCGACTCGTGCATGGTAGGTTGTGCCCTGCCGACTGAGGTGGTTCAGTTCAGCAGTGACCTCGATGCATGCACAGAAACTCACTATTATTCGTGTGTGGCCCTTTGGGAAGATTTTTTGGAAAGTCCTTCGTTAGCAGATGTTGCTTCACCCTGTGACTCCCCGTTCTATCTCCGTGCCCTTCACTCACTCAGGCGGCCTTCAGCTCCCTCTTCCTCCGCATGGGGGCAGCACTGGAGTCGGCGCTGGGAGGGAAAGGGGCTGTTGTGGTCCATCTCACTGGACCATTTTAGTGGCTAAGACAAAGGAGTTTCTAACAGGAGCAAGTGGCAACCGTAGCTCCAACCAGGCTGTTCCAGGAAGCAGGGGGACACCAGAGGAAGTCTGTAGCCATCAGGGTGAAGGCAGTAGAGTGCACACAACACCCCGGCTTCCAGGAGGTGTGACAGAACCGCCTCTGTCTCAAGAGCTGATCACATGGGCCTGTGCTCGGTTGTCAACATGTCTTCAAATGCCACTGGACGTCACCTTTAGACATTCGGGATTCCTGGTCACAACAGTTCGTAGAGCATGCAGACCAAGCAATTGAGGGAAGGGAAGCGTTTTTATTTTTACTTAAAAAATATTCATTGAATATTACACTAGACCAGCCCCCAAGGAATGATGAAAAAGGGCAAGTGCTCAAAGAAGTGTATAGCAGAGACGGAACAGCAGTTACACATCAGGGCTATGAAGCAAGTAAATCCAGCTGCCCCTCTGCACCACCCCCACCCACACACACTTTTTAAAAAATATGTTTTGTTGATTTTGTTATTACAGTTGTCCCATTTCCCTCCCTTTGTTCCCCTCCACCCTGCACACTCCCTCCCACCCATGTTCCCCTCCTTTAGTTCATGTCCATGTGTCACAAGTTCTTTAGCTTCTACATTTCCAATACTATTCTTGCCTTCCCCCTGTCTATTTTCTACCTACCATCTATGCTACTTATTTTCTATACCTTTTTCTCCTTCTCCTCCTGCCACTCCCCTGTTGCTAACCCTCCATGTGATCTTCATATCTATGGTTTTGCTCCTGATCTAGCTGTCCTCTTAGTTTGCTTTTGTTTTAGGTGTGGTTGTTAATAACTGTGAGTTTGCTGTCCTTTCACTGTTCATATTTTTTATCTTCTTTTCCTTAGATAAGTCCCTTTACCATTTCATATAATAAGGACTTGGTGAGGATGAACTCCTTGAATTTGATCTTATCTGAGAAGCACTTGATCTGCCCTTCCATTCTAAATGAAAGCTTTGCTGGATAGACCAATCTTGGACGTAGGTCCTTGCCTTTCATGACTTGGAATACTTCTTTCCAGCCCCTTCTTGCCTGGAAGGTCTCTTTTGAGAAATCAGCTGACCGTCTGATGGGAAGTCCTTTGTAGGTGACTGTCCCCTTATCTCTTGCTGCTTCTAGGATTCTCTCCTTCATTTTAATTTTGGCTAATGTAATTATGATGTGCCTTGGTGTGTTCCTTCTTGGGTCCAACTTCTTTGGGACTCTCTGAGCTTCCTGGACTTCCTGGAAGTCTATTTCCTTTGCCAGATTGGAGAAGTTCTCCTTTATTATTCAAATAAGTTTTCCACTGGTGGCTGTTCCTCTTCCCCTTCTGGTACCCCTATAATTCGGATGTTGGAGTGTTTAAAGATGTCCTGGAGGTTCCTAAGCCTCTCCTCATTTTTTTGAATTCTTGTTTCTTCATTCTTTTCTGTTTGGTTGTTTCTTCCTTCTGGTGCACTCCATTGATTTGAGGCCCAGTTTTCTTCCCATCACTATTGGTTCCCTGTGCATTTTACTTCATTTCACTTAGTGTAGCTTTCATTTTTTCATCTAATTTGCAACTAAAATCAATCGATTCTGTGAGCATCCTGATCACCAGTGCTTTGAACTGTGCATCTGATAGGTTGGCTATCTTTTGGTCACTTAGATGTATTGGCTCTGGGGCTTTGATCTGTTCTCCCATTTGAGCCATTTATTTATTTATTTATTTGGTCTGGTTGTGCCTGTTATGTATGAGTGGTTGAGCCTTAGGTGTTCGCCAGAGCAGGGTGACCCACGTTGCTGGGTTGTGACACTGTATGTGGGGGTGGGGTCAGAGAGGGAACAGTGGCACTTGCTCTGCTCTCATAGTTCAGTCCCTCCTGCCACTTCCCACAAGCAAATTGGACCCTTCTGGTGTTGGTTCCTGGGTGGGCGTGCTTGTGTACTTTCTAGAACCCTGTGGGTCTCTCCAACAAACTTTCCTGTGGGGCTGGGAGTCTCTCCTGGAACCTTAACTCCCACAGGTGTTTTCAGTTGGTGCTTTTAGGCTTTATTTCCCGTCGCTGGGGCCCTGGGTTGGGCAGTCTGTCTTGCTGCCTGTTTTCACCTGGTTTATCTGGCGTGAATGTGTGTCTGCGGTCAGCCAGCTGCCTTGTGCACCTCACTGGGTCTGCTCGTTTCCTCCCCATGCCCAGGGTCTGCCAACCACCACCTGCGCTCCCGGGTCCACCAGCGACCGCTTTTTCCTGCCATGACCCCTCTCCACTGGTCATCGACTCCACCCCTCTTACTGTCTGGATGAATAGTTGTAGGACTTCCATACAGTTCAATTTTCTGTCTGTTCTGGTTGTGTTTTTGTTTCTAAATCTTTGTTGTCCTTAAGTTTGGTTGTGCAAGGAGGCACAGTGTGTGTGCCTATGCCTCCATCTTGATCGGAAGTCCACACACATTTTTGAATTAAAGAAGAGATTCAACAATGCCATTACCATAAGCTAACATAATAAAATGATACTTCCGATGGTCCTGTTTCAGAGTGGGCAGATCAGGGGACTGGAAATGGCCCAGTGGTGATCCCTTAGACAGTTAGTTGTCCAGAGAAAGAGTGAGGCAGACTTCTGGGTCCCTAGGTGATTCACTGAGGTCACTTTCCCTTTAGCCCCTTGGCTACAGGTCTGCCAGCTGAGGTGGGCAGTGCTGGAGGAATCCCTGCCTTCCCGGCAGGAGTCCCGGGTGTGACTTCCCAAGCCAAAAAAAGAAAGAAAGCGTGTTTGGAGGCAGAATGGCGTGGGGCTTGGGACGTAGCTTTTGCAGCCTGTGAGGTTTGGGTTGGATCCCACGTCTGCCAGTAAGAACAATGTGACCCGGAGAAGTTTTCTGTCCTCTCTAGAAAGTTCGTTCATGAGTAATATGGACTGAGTCTCATTTGCAGGCTGTTTTGAGGACTAAATTAATGTATTTGAAAGCTTTCCTCTTTCACATATGCGTGGGTGATGTCTGGATATTCACTCAATGAAGAGTAACTATATGAATATTAATATCTGTCATTTGGTGGTTATTATATTGTGGGATCTCTTCCAAATGCTTTATAGTAACTCATTTAATCCTGACAATTACCTGCTATGGCACTATCATTGCTTTTCCTAGTTTACAGATCTAGAAAAGGGACCAGAGCAGTTAAGTTATTTACCTGACATCACCCAGCATGAAAGGTGGTAGAGTAAGGCTCTCCTAGTAGCAATGACTAGTGTGAATGCATTTCTGCAGTGTGTCTGGAGGTCTACCCAAAGGGAGCGTCTCTTCCTCGCTTGGTCACTGCCAGAGGAGGGGCGGGAGGGTGATCTGTGACAGAGAACTGAAGGCTGTGCACAGACACAGGCATGCGCATGTTCCTGTCATGATGTCTCGTGGGAACCAAGTCATGCCGGCTTCTTTAATAGCGGGAATTCCGCCCAGTGGGTATCTCAGATGCATACCAGAGGTTCTCCAACACAGCTCCAGGTAGAAAATAAAACAAACAAAAGCTACTTTGTATTAGGTCTGGAGCAAGATTGTTCACCAGAATCTCTCATTATCTTTCCAATTTATGGGTGGGACACATTGGAAGCTGTGGTTCCCTTTGTAAAGGTCTAGAAATCATTGGGATCAGTGCTGAAGCCAAACATTAACTTTGGCCTAAAGCCCAATATTAGAGAGACAGAGGACAAATTACGTCTCATCCGTATTCTCCATTTTGTGCGCAACAGCTGCTTCTTCCCCTGTGTTTTCTACCTCACAAATGTCCACTGCCTCGCTAAGCCCACCTCCAACCCCACGTGGGAGGCACTTTCTGTTCCTCTCCAGCTGGAAGTAATCATTCATTCCTTTGAAGATGCCTTTATTTATAGTCCTTAGATTTTTGCTTTCATGTCAAGGTGTTCTTGTTGCCAAAGCAGCCTTTTGCCCCTCAGTGACCAAAAATAGTGCCTTCATCTGTGTGGACCTTACCACGAAACCTTGCAAAGAGTAGATGCTGAATAACTGCCTGGCTGAACTGCTGCCCTGGCCGTGCAGAGTGGACTTGCAGACGTGTTCCACTGTGGTCACTGTTTGGTTAATAAATAGCTCAGCCCAAGTAAGTCAGCATCTCAGTATTTCTTTTATGTAAGGGGAGATTTTAAAACAAATGGTGGAATATGTCTAATAAAAATGTTCCCAGTAAATGTTGCTTAATTTTTTTTCAGTTAGGCTTTTCAGCAGCCTAACTGAATAATTTATGCAGCCCCTTGTAAGGTCTAGGCTCATCACCGAGGCTATGGCATTGGTATTTCCTGAGTATAAGGCTCACCGCCTCCACAAAAGCACCCAGCACAATCAAAAATTCAATTCTTCTTCAGCATCACAGTCGTATTCACTCCCACTTCTAAGAAGCAAATAGTCTAGTAGTTACAGGGTTGCAGTCCCAGGGCTAGACCGCCTGACTCCAGATCTTAGCCCTGTCAGTAAGCAAGTTACAGAGCTGTCGTGCTTCATTTCTACTATCTCTAAAATAAATATAATTGTTACATCATTATTATTATCAATCACACGAATTTTGGGAGGATTAAAGGAGCTAATACAGGGAAAGTGTTCAGAAAAGTATCAGTAAACATGATTACGACTGTTCTTCAACATTTCCAAGTGGGGATGACCATAGATGTGCTTCAGGTTGGACACTCGTGGGGGGCAGGGAGGATGCGCAAATCTCCACCAGTTACACGCTGTTTGCTAAGGTGTCAGCCCTTCCCTTCTGAGCCCTGCAGGACCTCAGAAGCCTGCTCTGATCTTTTCACAGGTAGCAAATATAAACTTTATAAAGTCATAATGTCTTAAGGTTAATGATACGTGGCCAAAGAACTGAATGAAACTTAAATATCAAGAGTGAAAATCTTTATGCATATGAATGAAATAAATTGTAGGTTATAAATATGTATAGTAAATAATCCTTCTGTGGTATTTCCCATTCAAGCATGCTAATTGAAAAGGTCCTAAAAACTATTTAGAAATGTAATGGATGGTCCCTGCGTATGTTTTATTTAATGCATTCATTCACACAGCAAGAATCTTGAAGAGTTATTTTACAATACTTTTCTAGTATTTCTTATGGAAAAAAGCTTTGAATGTTCCATGTTGGGTACCTTGTGTATTTATAAGATGGATCAAAATTAAAGAATGAGATTATGAGAGACTTGATTCCTATGCAATACTTAAAAAAATATGACATATTTTGATAAGCATGGGAACTGATTAAAAATGTCTTCTGATTTCACGGAAAGACCAGTAGAAGAATCCTTTCCTTTCCTGAGCCATCCCCCTCCTTTTAAAGATGTGTTTCACCTGTCTGTTTGGAAGTCCCATTGAAGTAGTGAAAGCATGATCCTCCCATGGGCTGACAATAAAAGCTTTGTTAAAATTTTCTGAAGTTGGTTAAGCTGGGTTTGGCTTTATTGTACCCTCAAGACAACACAGGTGTCATTAAAGCTCTGAAATACCAGTGATTAACGTCCACTGCTATTCATTCCAGGGTGACAGCGGTGGACCTCTTGTTTGTGAACAGCCTGGAGGACAGTGGACATTGTTTGGTTTAACTTCATGGGGCTCCGTCTGCTTTTCCAAAGTCCTGGGGCCAGGAGTTTATAGCAATGTGTCATACTTCCTCGAATGGATTGAGAGACAAATATACATTCACACCTTTCTCCTCAACTAACTCCAAAGGTGATCAGAGACTTTGCCAGCGACATTCAGAGGAAACGGCCGTGGCTGTGGGGAGCGTCCTGCGGACAGCTGTGCAGACAGCCCTCCCCACGAGCAGGGGCGGTTGCAGCCTACTGTGCGTTTTCATGTTTGTTTAGGTTGAACGTCATTCAGCTTTATTTTCCAGCTTTATGTTTCCCTTAGTTCAAGTTCAATGAAAGTCTTTTTTAAAAAGGAAGAAAGCCGATTTTGTTGTTTTGTCAGCCTAACCTTGACTCTAGTGCAGAATGGTCACCTCTGGAGGGTCAGGCTGCTGCAGGCGCCGAGGGAACAAGCTACAGGGCTCCCTCTTACCAGTCACAGAAAGGATGCTGGGATCCAGGCTGACCAACCATTGCCGGCTCGTTTCTCAAGTGCAGTTGCATAGCAGCAGCTTTCAATATTAACATTGGTGACTTGCTTTTGATTTATTAAAAGCCAAGGTAGCGCACATGCTCAAGTTATTTACTATTACTCTTGTAAAGTTCACAAAATGGTGAGCACTATGAAAGACAGGCAGAGGTGAGACAGGCAGCGCCCCCTGCAGGTCGCTGCAAAAGCAAGACCCATTGACCGCAAAGCCCTTTAGACATGGGTGTTAGCACTGGCCTGCGATCGCCCCTTCCGAATGTAAGCCACGGTCGGTGTTTGGTAGAAGAGTCTCTGTAGAACTTTTTTTGGGGTAGCTTGGGTTTGTTTAGTGTATGTCAGCTGGCCCGCTGAGATTTCAACAGCAGGACAATATCCATGGGAAGTATTTTATTTTGCCCACCTGTGTGACCATGTATTTGAGATTACAGTTTGCCAAAGGAGAACTGGCTTTACACTGGAGAGATGCAATTAAAAAAAATTAGATTGCACCCTACTTAATGAAGTGTTTTCCAGTTTGTCCATACCAGTACAGAAATATATCTCAAGGTACAGAAAAACTCGGCATAACATTTTGTAATTTTCCTTGAGAGGTTTTTAATGTCTGGTGTTGCCATTTCTTCTACTGATAATTAAAGTTTTGAAGATGCTTTTAAGCACTAGGCAACTTTATCCACATCTTTTCTGAAGGCCACTAATTTCTTAAGTAATCAGGGGTTAAAGTATTTTCCACACAAAAAAGCTTTAAAACGCAAATCATCTCCCGCACTTGATTTAATTAGTTAGTCAGGTACCCATTGCTGCAACACCCAAAGGCCTTTTGAAGAAGTGGGGCTCCCTACTCACCTCCACCAGCACCGACCGCCTCAGCATCCCACAGAGACGGCCTGTGGTTTTGTGCACATAGTTTTGTACTCTTTTCTACCTGTACACATGTTTGAAATTCAAAAAGTTGTCTCGACCCTTTCCATGTTATTTATCTTTTGTTCTGCGGTTTTTATTAACCTGATTGAGAATGTGAAATCCAGTCATTGAATTTTGGTCACAACTGTATGGAAGTTTAAGAACCTATGTCAATTTGTTATATTTGTAGGTGCATACTTAATGTAACAACTTTTAGTCTCGCTCAACTTGCGTTCAGTGAAATGTACATATTGTACTTATTTTAAATAACCATTAATACAAACAAACTGGTGTAATCTTTCTTTATGTATACGGAGCATGAATAAGTCCCAGAAAACCGTCTCCCATTGTGATGGCAGGCACCCAGACTCCCACCAATCATAATTCCCTGTCTTATCTCTGACTGTCACAGACACGTGCTGACTTTAGATGACAGATCAACCTTCAATTAGAGGTTAGAGGTTGCTAATACTCTCGAATTGCCCGTTGAGTGTCCAACAAAAATTTAAGGCCTGGTAAGAGTGTAAGGAGCTTTACTTTCTGGAATATATTTTAGGAAACTGACCCAATTCTTGTATTTCTTATTTACTTTATTATTAGTTTTAAAAATATCTTATTTTAAAAAATATCTTATTTTTTAAAGTATTTTATTTATTTATTTTAGAGAGGGGGGAAGGGAGAAAGAGAGTGAGAAAAACATCAATGTGTGGCTGCCTGTGATGTGGCCCCACCGGGACCTGGCCCACAACCCAGGCATGTGCCCTGACTGGGAATGGAACAGGCGACCCTTTGGTTCACAGCCCATCCTCAATCCAATGACCTACACCAGCCAGGGCTATTTTATCACTTTTTAAACATCTTCCCCTGAGGACATTTTTTCATTGCATTTTAGAAAGAGAGGAAGGAGGTGAGAGAGAAACATTGATGTGAGAAAGAAACATCAGTCGGTTGCCTTCTCGTACGCATCCCAACCAGGTACTGAACCCGAAAGCTGGATGTGTTCCCTGAGTGAGAATCACACCCTGCCCTTCTGGTCCACAGGGTGATGCTCCGACCAACTGAGCTGCAGAGGCTGGGGCATCCAATTCTTTCATTAAGTCTTCGGGGGTAAAATTATATCCCCAGATGTATATGAATCAATTTTTCTTGGCTACCAGTAGCAATGACATCATACTCTAAGTCTCTTAAAATTCAGTGAAATCTGAATACCAAATGTAATAGTTCACATCAGCTTGGGTAACTTGTGTAGGAGTTATTTATTTGTACATGAGACCATTTAAAGGCTTAATACAGATCCAAGTTCTTTTTCACCTGAAGGCCAGATGTGTTTAAGAACCCAGAATTTGCCTGACTGGTGTGGTTCAGTGGGTTGGGTGTTACCCCAAAAACCTAAGGTTACTGATTCAGTTCTTGGTCAGGGCACTTGCCTGGGTTTCAGCCCAGGGCCTTGGTTGGGGGCATGCAAGAGGCAACCAATCAATGTTTCTCTCCCCTTCCTCCTCCCTTCCCCGCTCTCTAAAAAAAATAAATTAAAAAAAAAGAACCCAGAATATTTCAGAAATAACAAAAATACACTTTAACATCTAGTAATACATTTTTTTGTAGCAAATATGTGAACATTATTTTATAGCATCACCTCTGTTGATGGCATTGAGTTGTGCCTAATTCATAAAAAAAATTTTCAGTGTTCAGAGTACTTGGGATTGTGGAATTGTGGTTAAGAGACTGCGGCCCCATAACTCAAGCACTCGAGTTTCATCTGCTCCTGTGTGTACATACTTAGCGGTTTGTCTTAGTCTGTATGGCTCATTCCTTTTATCCTTAGATTCTAACCTTTTATTTATTAGTAAGACTATCTGTACATTTTTATTTATCAGAAGATGATGATCTCAGGAAATAAATGCCAGCCAGCTACTTTGAGGATAACAGAGGAAATAACATCACTAATTGTTCCATACAAGAAAAAGCCAAAACACTATTCTGGTAAAAGGTGTACTTTTCCCTCTAAGTTTTGGAACCAGAACCAATCCACTTACAGTTGGATTCTGTGAATGTCTAGAGGAGTGACAATAGTCTTTAGTGCACATTATTTACAAAACAGTTTATTTAAAAAAAACAATAAGGAAGCGGAAGCAACTTCCATTAGCTATGTGCCATTTTTCAAGTTCTGGAAAGTCTATGGAAAAGACTATTTGCAATAATATCAGAAGGCTCCAAAAACATCAGAGCAGCAGAGGAGGCAGCAGGCAGAAGATAAAGCCTGAGAATAATATTTAGCGTTTAATAGTCATTAAGACAATAGGAATGGACCAGCGGTTTGGAGATTTCATGAAGGAAATTCCAGGTGACTGGCAGCTGACAATTTTCAAATGAACAGATACAGAATTTTAAAAGAACCCAACAAGAATACAGGATCTTACAACAACACCTGGTCTTACTTGGGATAAATTATTTCTTTGTTCCAACTAAAACCAGCATATAGGACCAGTAACAGCAGTTAACCTGCTATATATAGATACGCCTGTTCTAAAATGTGTTAAACAAATTGTTCTAAGAACCTCACGGACTCCTTCTGAGAACCACCTATATTAGTCTCAATTCACATCTCATTTTAGAAGTTACAGCACCTGAAAAGCTGTATGGGTTGGTAAGGACTAGACACCCTCAAGTGGTCTCTTGAAGATTGTTTGGAAACTGATTGTCTCACTCTGACCGGGCAGTTGGTCACTTAGACAATACAGGAAATTGCCAAATGGGCTACAGGCTCAGCTGCGTCTGCCTGACTCACCCATGGTTTTGGTTTCCCAATTAACACCTGCACACAGGTGGACCTCAAGAAAGGGCTTTGCCTGCCGCTGGCTCCCATCACCTGCGGGAGCCTGGGAGCCTTGGCATTTCCGCCCCCCCCCCCCCCACCACTTCCCAGCTCAGGAGAACGCTGAAATGAGCAGAGGTCTGCTTGACATCTTCAGCCAGAAGATCAAAACCATCTCTTAAAAAAATAAAAAGCTATTAATAATACTATTTTAAAATAGTATCATTGTTATTTTAGGTGCATTGTTGTTTAAAAGGCTCTTGGATTTTTTTTTCCTCTGGAAATCAACCATTTATAACATTTTTTTCATGTAGAATTCTCAGAATTCTAACCAATCAATCTAAAACTACTTTGTTCTTTTCTGAATTAAAAAAATATCAGATTGGAGTCTGCTCATTTAAAGCATTTCTCTGGAATCTGAGTGCTCACAGTAAAATAAATATATCTCAAATGAATTTCCTTGAAAACATTTCTATGTTGAAGACCATTAAAATGCTTTTACAAAATCCTTAGTGTTTCATAAAAGCATTTGATTGTGAATTAAATATTTTACTTCCCTAAACCCTGTCCAGGTCAAATGTAAAACATACAATAAAGGATATCACATTGGCTTTTTCAAGGAAGTAAAATGTTCATGACCATTAAGGAAAAACCCAAGTCGCTCCTGCTTGGTAGAGGCGCCTCTTCTGAGTCTCCACACGTGAAGGAATACTTACCTGAAGAGGGCATCCTGCTTCTTTAACCCTCCGAGGGCTTGGCCATCCCTGAGGTCTTAGTTTCAGAGTAGTCCGAGTCTAAAGCAGTTTCACACACACAGGAGCTCCCTTGCTCAGCGGCACAAGAACTTGCTGACATCATTCCAATGAGAGCGGGGCCGCACATGGGTCTTCTCTCGGACTTGGCAGCTGAGTGGTCAGCACACGTAGATGTCACTTGACCCACCTTTCCAGCTCCTCTCCACTTCTTGAAGGCTTCAGCCCTCTCCTCTGGAGTCAGTCTGTCCAAGTGCTTAGCCCTCAGAAGTGGAGATGGAAACAGGGACCCCTGAAGAACTCGGTACGTAAACCTAGGTCACAAAAAGCATCACAGAATTACATTCACCACCGCAAATGCATCATGGGACACAAAAAATGCCAATTAGAAATAGTAAAAGTGTCTGGTGGCCATTTGCCTCCTTGAGGTGAGGAGGGAGGATAAGCTACATACAGAACAGAGATGACAACAATATTAAATAAATTAATATTTGTAAAGTGCCTAAGAAATGACGAGTATCTTGTGAGTGCTTATTAAATAAATAAAGCAAACATCTATAATACTAGAGACACCAATAGTGCTACATTATAGGCATAATGTTAGGTTCAATAAGAAAGAACATAGAAAGCAGAGTGCTGGCACATAGCAAGTTTTCAGAAAGCATTAGCTATTAATATCCTCTGGCTACTGTATCAAACCACCACAAACTTGTCCCAAAGCGGGCCATGTTTCTGGTGTTATAGCATCCTCAAAACCATGTGGATCCCCACTGTGTGCCATGGGGATGATGCCAGTAGGTAAGAGGGTCTTCCACAGGCCTGTCCTGTATAATCCCCTGTCCTCTCTCGATGGCTGCAGAGATGGCAGAGGGGACCCAGGCGTCGCACTCCGGATCTCTCAGGCGCTAGCAAAAGGTCATCTGCCACACTCTTGGCCTCTCTAGACATGCTCCTCACAAGCACGGGGCTTTAGCAACTTTTGCAGCCTGGAGAGTCTGAGGATTTCCTAAATCTAGTTCCTCTTGACTTACCAGTTCTTCCATAGTCTCTCTTCTCTCACAATCTACCATAAACAAGAAGAAGAAGGCAGGCCAGACCGCCAACACTTTGCCTAGCGATCTCCTCACCTAACCATCCAAATGCGTTGTCCTCGAGCCCCGGTTTCTGCCCCTGTATTGCCGAGATCCACTTAACCTCAAATTCCCAGGAATGTGTTTTTAATTTCATTGTGAGTCCTCACCGGCAGTGCCTTTAACTTTCTCTCCCATGCTTCCCAACTTTCTTCTGAATCCTCACCAGCAAGAATTTTAACGTCCTACCTACAGTCTGTTAGAGGAAGTCCAGTGTTTCTCTGTGTCTCAAAATCCTCCCAGTCCCCGCCCATCACCCAGTTTTAAAGCCACTCCCACGTGTCTGGGTATTTGTTACAGCAGCACCCCTCTTCTGGGTAATCAGGACCTACATATGTTTCCTATGGCCGCTGTAACCAATCACCACAAACTTAATGGCTTAGAACAACACAATTCAATTCTCTCACAGTTCTGCAGGCCAGGGATTCTGAAAGTAGCTTCCCTGGGCTAAAACCAAGGTGTTGGAAGGCCCATGCTCCTTCTGGAGAATCCACTCCTTGCTTTTCCCAGCTCCTGTGGCTGTAAGCATTCCTTGCTTTATGGCTAAGAAAACTCTGCCTCCGTAGTAACAGTGCCTTCTCCTCTTCTGTTTGTGTCCAATCTCCCTCTGCCTCTCTCTTACAAGGATGCTTGTGATGACATTTAGGGCCCATGCAAGTAACACGGGATATTCTCCTTGTCTCAAGTCCCTTAATGTAGTCACATCTGCAAAGACTTATTTTGTTAATAAGGTAACATTCGAAGGTTCTAGGAATTAGGGCGTGGATATCTTTTAGGGCAGCGGTCCCCAACCTTTTTCGCACCAGGGACTGGTTTCATGAAGACAGTTTTCCCACGGACTAGGGGTGGCAGTGGGGAGGGGAGGCA